GTCATGCAAATAGTTTGTAAATTTGCATGTGAGCTTGCAATTATATTGTTTTTGATTTCATCTGTAGGAGATGGTAGCCAGATATAGCTCTGAATAAAATTCCTTGTTACTCTGGAGTGACAATCATCCTTTTGCTTCAGCCAGGGTGAGTGTTACCAAGCTCAATCAGTTTTTTAGAGGAGTTGGAAGCAAGGTAGTGGACCAGGAGCTACAGCCAGAGACCTTGTCTGCCATAACCCTTTTCTTAAACTCTCTCACTGTTGCCTTATCACCAGTGCAGTTCCACCAATGGTAGCAAAGGGGAGAGCACTAGTGTAGATAAGGCACTGGCCTCGTTTACTACTATGTTGTCTAATGCTGCTCCACCTTCTATTCACAAAGCACCTTTCCTTCTGAAGGATCTCAAGGTACCTTACAAACTAAAAGCAAAATGTATACAAAGACCACTTAATGTCTCACTTAATGAACAGTCAGCCAGTGGAGTGAAACACAGAAAAAGTTTAACAGTGCACAGCAACACTACAAAAGAATTTAGAGCAGAAAGGGAAGAAGAATATTATATATAAATGAAATTGAAGGTGGAATTTACATAGAGTGATTTCCTGAGATGGAAAATGGCCAGGATAATAGAATCAGCCTATGCTTGACAAAAGACTATGGGATTTCAAATGGTCAGGGTCTCCATTTTATGCATTATCCAGTCTTTTTTGGCTACTTCTGTGTCCCTTTATAAGTTGGGGCACAAAGGAAGCAAAACCCTTCATAGCAATGACCCTACCTACCAGACATACCAGCAAGACTTCTGTCTTCTTCAGGTGAAGTGTGAGGCAGCCCTGACACATCCAGCCAGAAATGTTGTCTATACACCTCTTAAGAATAGAGACTAAGGCTATGTGTAGGCTACAGAATTAAATCGACACAAGTTACGCTGCCGATCATAAACCGCTATAATCCCATTGCTTGTGCATGTTCACACAACACTCCTTGTGTTGTTGGAGCATGTCCACAGTTGGTGTTCTAGTATCGAGAGAGAACAGTGCACTGTGGGTAGCTATCCCTGTGTAGAAGCTGCTAGGAGTTGTGGGAATGGATTGCAGTGCATCATGGGTACAGGCTCACCATCCCATGATGCAGTTTTTTGTTCCATCATTCTGACTACATTCCGACTACATTTCGTGCATTTTTCAACAGCCCCTGTAAACTGTGTGCCTGCCATCTCTGCCTGAAAGCATGGTTCCTGCACTGCTCTCTAGTCTTGTGATAAGTGTTATGAACACAACACGACTGATCATGCAGTATTTCATGACCTGCAAATCTGAACAGGAATTCGTGGTGCCGACCCTGCTGTGTGCCATGGAAAGAAACAAATCCAGATTACTTTTGGCATTCAGGGAGCAGCTAAACACGGTGGACCATCACTATTGGGCTCAGGAAACAAGCACCGAGTGGTGGCAGCAGAACTTTTGGATGCACAAAGCCACCTTCATGGAACTGTGTGCGGAGCTCCCCCCTGCCCTGCAGCACGAGTACACCAAAATGAGAGATGCCCTCTTGGGGGAGAAATGCATGGGGATCGCTGTGTGGAAGCTGGCAACTCCAGACTGCTCCTGGTCAGTCATGAATCAGTTTGGAGTTGGGAAGTCCACTGTGGGGGTTGTATTCACGCAAGTGTGCATGGCAATTAATCACATCCTGCCAAGAAGGACTGTGACTCTGGGAAATGTGCGTGAAATAGTGAATGGGTTTGCGGCAATGGAATTCTCTAACTGTGGCAGGGTGACAGATGACACGCATATCCCAATTCTGGCCCCGGACCATCTTATGACAGATTACATCAATAAAAAGGGCTACTTCTCTATGGTACTGCAGGCACTGGTGGATCACCGGGGTCGTTTCACTGCTATCAATGCAGGGTGGTCAGGGATGGTATATGACGCACGCATCTTCAGGAACACTGGCACGTATAGCAAGCTACAAGCAGGGACTTTCCAGACCAGAAGATTCAGATGGGGGTGGTGAAATGCCTATAGTGAGCCTGGGAGATCCAACCTACCTCTTGCTCCTGTGGCTCAAGAAGCCATACACCAGAAACCTTGATAGCAGCAAGGAGCTCTTCAACAAAAGGCTCAGCAGGTGCAGAATGACCATTGAATGTGCCTTTGGCAGATTAAAGGCTCATTGGCGCTGCCTTTTTAGCAGGTTAGACCTCAAGGAGGAAAATATTCCCATGGTTATAGCAGCCTGCTGTGCTCGGCATAACATTTGTGAAGCTAAGGGGGAAAAGTTCCCCCAGGGGTGGAGCGTTGAGGCAGCTTGCCTGGTGGCTGACCTTGAGTAGCCAGATACTAGGATATTAGAGGGACTCAACGGGGGGCTATTTGAATAAGAGAGGCTTTGAAGTAGCATTTTGACAATGAGCCCCAGTAATGTGTCTTTCTATAATGCATTCAGCAAGGCTTTGTTTACTTGCTGCCTGGAATGACCCTTGTAATGACTGCTTCTTGAGCGTGATTAGTAGTCTGCAAATACACCAGTTGCCTCTGTGTCTGAATTCCAGCACCAACCACTGTGTGTAGGAGAAAAAGATTCATTTTCTATGAGTACATTTTTATTAAACAGCAATAACCAATACACAGAATTTGATGTCTTTCAAGGGAAATGACGCTGAGGAGCACTCTCTTAATGGAGGCTCTCATAGCTATGTGTAGGTCCAGCTGTCATTAGGCAACCTGTTTGAAGGGGTGGAGTGAAAGGGGTACTGCGATGGGCTGGGAACATGTAAGGAATGTGTGTGGGGAGTTTGGGAAGGGGAGGGCATGGCATGCAGTTCTGTATAGTCTCTCTAATCTCTTGGAGCATTTCACAATCACCATCATCATCCTGCTCAGGTGGCTGGTAGTATATTCCTACTGATATATTCTTATTATTCAAGGATGGAATTTCTATCCCTAGAGATTCTATTATACAGTTTGATTCATTTAAGACTTTTACTATATATTTCATATACAGAGACACTCCCCCCCCCGAGCACGACTTACTCTGTCATTCTTATATATTTTGAACCCTAGTATTACCATGTACCATTGATTATCATCATTCCACCAGGTTTCTATGACGTCTCTTCTATCAATATCCTCATTTAATACCAGGCACTCAAGTTCACCCATCTTATTATTTAGAATTCTAGCATTTGTATACAAGTACTTATAAAATTAATCACTTTTAAGCTGTCTGCCATTGTGATGTAATTGAATGGGATTCTTTTTCATTTGACTGTTTCTCTTCAGTTCCCACGTGTATTTGATCAACTTCTATTCTCTCATTTTTACTAGGATAGAGAATCCTCGTTAATATATCCTCCCATAAGGAATATCTCTGTCTGAACCATATGCTCCTCCGCATCTGTTGGCTTTCTCCCAGCCCTTAGTTTAAAAATTCCTCTACAAACTTTTTAATTTTATCTGCCAGCAATCTGGTTTAGGTGGAGCCCATCCTTCCTGTATAGGCTCCTCCTTTCCCAAAAGGTTCCTCAGCTCCTAATAACCCAAAGCCCTCCTTCCTATACCATTGTCTCATTTATGCACTGAGACCCTGCAGCTCTGCCTGTCTAAATGGCCTTATGCATGGAACTGGAAGCATTTCAGAGAATGTTATCATGGAGGTCATGGACTTCAATCTTCAAGCTGTGTCAGTCCCAGGACATTGGAGAGACAAAGTGAGTGAGGTAATATCTTTTATTGGACCAACTTCTCTTCGTGAGAGAGACAAGCTTTCGAGCTTATACAGAGCTCTTCTTTGGGTGTGTGTAAGCTTGAAAGATTGTCACTCTGACCAAAAGAAGTTGGGCCAATAAAAGAGATTACCTCATCTTGTCTCTCTGCTAGGATTAGGGTCAGTGATCAGAGGTTCTTTTGTTCTGTTTTAAATATTTTTGATAGGGTTGTCAAACTATAGCAAACTGAGCTAAATACTGTGTTCTTTCTTCATTTATACCCTCACCCCCTTTGCGCTTTTTATTAACAAAAAAAGTATTGGTATTAATGCTAGAAACCAAACTATACAATTATTTATGACAGAACTATACAAATATTTATGACAGAAACCAAATCATGGCATGTAGTGAACTGTTGTGAATGCATTTAGAGCTCAAATAAATTGCATAACTACTGAAAGGAATTATGTGTCTTTCACTGATGTTCCAGCTTTTACCTAACATTGCCAGTGGGACGATTGAGGCACCCAGAGGTCAGGTGACTTGCCTAAAAATTTGAATCCATTACTTAGAACCAAGAATTCCTCTTGGTTATTCCCAGGAAACCATTAACCTCCTCAGTTTCTTAAATCCACAATAAATCTTTTAGTAGCTTGTTTTATTTTTATAATCACATTTGTACTGCAAAAGTATAATTATATAAAGGATTAATTACAGTTAAGTTATATTTTACTTCAAACAGCATCATACTTCACAAAATTATATTCAAATATTATTCTGAACAATTGGGCTATTTATCCCTTTAATGCCTTTGCCCCATATCCCATACTGAAGGGAATTAAGAAGTTAAAAACTATCATCTATTTGCAAATGATTCACTGATTCATTACCCAATCCTTTGAATTGTTATGAGGTCAAATTCATCCCTTGTGTAAGTTGGCACAACTGACTTTTGTGGGAATGCACCTGCTTAGACAAGAACTGCTTTTGGTCCATGGACTCACCATTTCTAAATTAAGGTCAGGTCCTGGTGTTTCAGTAACCACCATTCCAAAACTATATGAAAATCTATTTATTGTGCAATAAATAATCATAAACCCCTTGATTCTGCAAAAATTTAAGCATGTGCTTAACTTCAATGGGTTTTGGATTTGTCTCATAACTAGTTCCACTGACTTTAAGGGACTAATCACATGCATAAGGTAATGCTTACATATTTGCAGGACTAGGGCCAAAGTTTGTAAGAAATTTTCAAAATGCATAAAGGCAGCTACTATTACAAACTAGCTGTTTATAAAATATATTTTATTTTACTTTTTTTAAAAATACAGTTTTCTAAGCAGCACATTATACATTCTTAGCAATAAAATCCACACAAATACAACTATCAGTAAGTTTTAACAAAGATTTGAGAATTAACTTTTCTGGACTGAGAGGAACAATGATTTCACTTTATTAAAGGGATGCTTTAATTGGACTATGAACAGAATGAATATTAAACATTTGGAATTCAAAACTGTAACTTTAAGGTTACATTAAGAATCCAGTCTATATATTTAGATCCATAATTGATACACTGCTTTTTAGATTCTGTTTTTATGCAATTTAAAAATGTAATGCCTATTTTTTTTTTCCAAAAGAGGATAGACATCAGAAGGGTACAATCTCAAATACACAATCCCTCTCTTTGGGTCCGATCCATCAAGGTGCTGAGCAACCTGAGGTCTAGTTGATTAAGTATTATTCAGCAGCTGAAGCTGCTCAGCACTTCACTGGTGATACACTGCACCTTGAAGGATGAAGGCCCTTTATTAGTATCAGACAAGCAACATCGACAGCATTTCCTCCCTCTGAATGAACAGTTTTCTGCTCATTTGTTTAAAAACAACAGAACACTACCACACACCCAATTCTTTCCAAACAGTAGTCCTTCAAGTGAGAGACACTTTCATAGACCATTCAACTGCTGGCAGTAGTTGGGTGCAGCGGTTTCACTCGTGCTAACCTGGACAGGCCAAGTCTGAGACCTTGAGTAGGTGATTTAACTGAAATTCCTCCCAGTGGGTTACTACTGCATCCTGAGGCAGCTGAAAGCATTTTAAAACAAAACAAATGTCACAAATTAACAGAAAAATTATTGTCACTAACTTACAAAGAAGATATTACAGAAGAGCTAATTAGGTATCCTCTTATGGAAACTGCAGAAAGGCCTGAACAATATTGCAGGAAAGCACATAAAAATCAGGTACGCTGCTAGTGGGAACATACTTGATAGTTACAGCAGAAGGATACAAAATCTGCAGGAGACACTTTTAAGGCTCCCCCTACACGTAACCTCAGAGTGACACCAACACATTTCACTCTGCTACCATAATACAGCATTTCTCAAAATATGGTCTGCTGTACACTTGCTGGTGCTCTGCAGAGCATTAACAGGTCTCATGGTACTATATTCCTTCACCCTTTTAATCAACTGCTTTTATAGATATCCTGTCTTTATTGCCATGAAGAAGCAGGGTATATGTAAAAACAACAGAGAACAAAGAGCCCATAGCCTAGCAGTTTACACTAGAGGCTGCTGCTACATAGAAGGAGAGAAACTATGAGTCTCTCCCCACAGGGTCTGCTCTGCCTGAAACTGTGAGTTACCACTCAGAGCCACCAGCAGGGGCAGGACGCATAACTGGAGGATGAATATCCAGGGGAGCATGGAACTAGGCATTTAGCAGCATGTCTAGTAGAAAAGGAGGACCTGAGAGTATGTAGTCACGTGCAAGGAAAGAGGACCAAGCATAAAGGATCCACATGTAGAAGAATAAAACTGATGGGAAAGGTGAAAAAACAAGAGGCAGCAGCAGTGTGATCTAAGTTTTCCAAAAAAGACCAAACACTTCTCATACTAAAGGCAGTTACAAATACACCAATACTTGCCCACTATTATTTTTGTAAGGAAGCAAATAGTGCAATGCAACAGGGATGCTGGACAACTCTTAAAAGAGGAAATGTCTACAAGACAATCTCTATATTGAGATTTGGGCCACGCTATTGGGAAAAGCTTTAGCACCCTTGTCCTTTCAAGAGAAAAGTTATTGAGGCAGCTGGGAAGTGGGCAAGTTAATTTTGAGTGGGAAAAGTGACTCTAGGACACAGAGGTGAGTGGAGTAGCTCATGTTTTGATGAGGAGGTACTCATTCAGAAATACAAATACTTTAGAGAACACCTTTTTAAACACATGTAAATAGGTATATTTGTCTGCAGCTACCATATTGCATATACCTGGTGGTATCCATTTGGGCTTCTTCTTGTCTGTTGAGGGACTTGATGCGTATAAAGGTTCTCCAATAGGTTCTGGAGAACTTGATGTCTCCTTCAATGTTGACTGAGATTTTGCTTGGATTACCCGTGGAGAAGAAACTACTGGAGTCACTTTGGCTGGAAAACAAAAAAAGCTTTAGAAAAATTGCTCTTTATTAAAGAAATCACACTGCACAAAATTACTGTACAAGTGAGGATCATTCAATTCAAAGAAATACAGGTGGATATGTCTTGAGAATCATGCCTTCCAATCAATGCAGGTTCATTTATTTGAACAGGTTATAGCCTCATATTTATTTCCTGGTTTGGAAGTAGGCACTTATCTCGTTACTGGCATGGGATGTATTGTAGAACTGCATGAAGGGACAAGCTAGCACAAATCTGCCATAAACTCTACAAGAAAAAAACATTTCCACACCACAACTAAACTGGTTCTGTAATATATGATTTAGCTTAAACATTGTTTGAAACTAAATCACAATAGCAGATCTGATGCATAGTTATTTAACACATATGTAAGAAATAGTTTTTTAAAAGGTTGTTGTGCTGATACAAATTGTCTTAAAGAGACATAGTGACCCCGTAATTCAAGTGTGGTAAATAAATATCTTTAACTATGCTATTAATGACACTGAAGGTCATTAAGGCCTTGATTTCCTGTAAGCAATCCATGTGGGTGCAGGGATCCACCCAGCTAGATGTGATCATACGATAAGGACCTAAAAGTAAAATAATGTATAAAACCTAAATGAATCATGGTTATGTTTGTTTGGTGATTTTTTTTTTTGTTTTTTTTTAAAGGGACACAGTCAATTGAAAAAAAAATAAATCATGCCTGTCTGTTCATTTTTATTTTACTCTTTTTACACCTAAAACTGATAATTACTCTAACTTAAAGATTAAATAATTATTTCTAGGGCTGTCGATTAATCACGGTTAACTCAAGTGATTAACTCAAAAAAATCACGATTAATCGCAGTTTTAATCGCACTGTTAAACAACAAAATACCAACTGAAATGTATTAAATATTTTGGATGTTTTTCTACATTTTCAAATATGTTGATTTCAATTACAACACAGAATACAAAGTATACAGTGCTCACTTTATATTATTTTTATTACAAATATTTACATGGTAAAAATGATAAACAAAAGAAATAGTATTTTTCAGTTCACCTCATACAAGTACTGTAGTGCAATCTCTTTATTGTGAAAGTGAAACTTTACAAATGTAGATTTATTTTTACATAACTGCACTCAAAAACAAACCAATGTCAAACTTTAGAGCCTACAAGTCCACTCAGTCCTACTCCTTGTTCAGCCAATTGCTAAGATGAACAAGTTTCTTTACATTTATGGGAGATAATACTGCCTGCTTCTTATTTACAATGTCACCTGGAAGTGAGAACAGGCGTTCGCATGGCACTTTTATAGGCGGCATTGCAAGCTATTTACATGCCACATATGCTAAACATTTGTATGCCCCTTCATGCTGTGGCCACCACTCCGGAGGACATGCTTCCATGCTGATGATGCTCGTTAAAATAATGTGTTAATTAAATTTGTGATTGAACTCCTTGGGGGAGAATTGTATGTCTCCTGCTCTGTGTTTTACCCGCATACTGCCATATATTTCATGTTATGGCAGTCTTAGATGATGACCCAGCTCATGCTGTTCATTTTAAGAACACTTTCACTGCCAATTTGACAAAATGCAAAGAAGGTACTAAGGTGAGATTTCTAAAGATAGCTACAGCACTCGACCCAAGGTTTAAGAATCTGAAGTACCTTCCAAAATCTGAGAGGGACGAGGTGTGGAGCATGCTTTCAGAAGTCTTAAAAGAGCAACACTCCAATGCAGAAACTACAGAACCCAAATCACCAAAAAGGAAAATCAACCTTCTGCTGATGGCATCTGACTCAGATGATGAAAATGAATATGCATCGGTCTCCACTGCTTTAGATCGTTACTGAGCTGGACCCATTATCAGCATGGACACAAGTTCTCGGGAATGGTGGTTGAGGCATGAAGGGACATATGAATCTTTAGCACATCTGGCATGTAAATATCTTGTGATGCCAACTACAATAGTGCCATGCGAACATCTGTTCTCACTTTCAGGTAACACTGTAAACAAGCGGGCAGCATTGTCTCCTGCACATGTAAACACACTTGTTTGTCTGAGCGATTGGTTGAATAAGAAGTAGGACTGAGTGGACTTGTAGGCTCTAAAGTTTGATATTGTTTTGTTTTTGAGTGCAGTTTTTTTGTGTGCATAATTCTACATTTGTAAGTTCAACTTTCTTGAGAAAGAGATTGCACTATAGTACTTGTATTAAGTGAATTGAAAAATACTATTTCTTTCATTTTTACAGTGCAAATATTTATAATAAAAATAAATATAAAGTGAGCACTGTACACTTTGTATTCTATGTTGCAACTGAAATCAATATATTTGAAAATGTGGAAAACATCCAAAAATTATTAACAGCGTGATTAATAGTGATTTTTTTTAATTGCTTGACAGCCCTAATTATTTCTCATTTTTATGTTGTCCATTTGACAGCAGTTTGTGTACTGTTTCATTATTACCCCAGATAGTCAGTTTGTCAGTCAATTTCCCCTATTTCTGCAAGTATTTCTTACAATAGAAGACAGATTTTCTTTTTTTTTTAAAATAGGAAAAAATGATTGTAAAACCACAAAATTCAGCAGGTTGATTCAAGGACAGGGAGAGTACCTGAAACTTCTTTTCACTCACTTTTTGAAAATGACTCTGCTTTGAAATGCGAATAGGTCAGTGTGCACTAGGGAACTTTTAGTACATGGTAGCAGGGTTCAGAGGGACAGTTAGCATGCGGCACAACTGAATGTTGTAGATTCACACCCCAGCTGCATATTCACTAACTGTTTGTCTAGACAAGCTCTGTATTTTTTGCTGATTATATCAAGCTTACCTGTAGCATTAATTCTGGATTTGGGGGGTTTCTTTTCTTTTTCTGTTTGGACCTTTAACTTAATTTCTTTCCTTTTATTTTCTTTAGTTTTCTTCCTTTTTGCAGCAAAGTCTTCATCATCTTCCTCACTGAAATCTGAACCACCCTCTGATTCCTCATCTAAAACAGAAGAAAAAAATATATGAGGTTTAACATCTCTTTTCTAGGAGTGCAATTTATCATTGCCACCTGGTTTTCTAAGCATATTCTGAACAAAAGGAAACCATGTTTGGAGTCCTAGGCTAAAACACATTGAAGGTCGAATACGGATGAATAAGCTCAACTGACCATGTCAAAAACCTAGCCTTTAGCTTCGGTCTCTTGAAATGCAATCAGGAAACATAACTGAAATACAATGATTTGTTATTAAAGAGGAACAAAGGTATTGTATATAAGGCTGAAAACAGTACACATTTCACTGAAAATATTCTTCTCTCAGAATAATTAGACATATTCAAAACATATCCAATAGGAAAAATTTAATAGTAGAAAACTTACCAGACACAAACTCTGACTCATAGTTATCAGCATGGTCTCCCTCATCACTGTTATCTGTCAGTAACTTCTGCTGTGACACAGCTTTAGACGCTGCTCTTCTTTGCCTATGACCATCTGTGGGGATGTCATTGTCATCTGGGACCTGATTGGGGCCTGCAGGATAAACATTGGTCTTATTAACACAAGTTAAAAAAAGGACTGGTTGCATGCTTAATAGTAAGTAAGTACTAAGTGTTTTGCTGGACTGGAGCCTTAGTTTCCTGTACTGATTCTGAGTATTTTTGGAGATCATCATCCAAGTACACAGTATCTGAGCTTCTTCCAATGTCTGTAATTCTCATTTTATCTTTTTAAAAACTACTCTGATAAGTCCTTTTTGCAGGTAAAAGTTGCCAATGCTATTCTGGGAATCAAGGTGTTAAGAGTGAAAAGTCAAGGAGTTGAGAGTACTTAGATCTTCCAAGGAGATAAGCAGTACCTTAAAATATTTGTGTGTGCACATGCATAAATGTGGTTTGTTCAGTTTTCACTTCTTGATGATAAATTGATGGTTTAAAAAGATTATTAAATCTGGAAATCTGAACTCAATTCCTACCGATTTTAAGACAGGAGCCAAATTCAGATCTAAGCAGATTGAATATATCTTTCAGACCAAAGCGTATCTACACAACTTAAAATAAAAATCATTTTTATTCTTTTTTCTCCAATAGATTTTGCCTTCACTTTCCTGAAAAGAAATGTTTCAGAAACACTGCTTACACATAATACATATGTTTACATATAAAGACAGACACAAAAATAACTTACCTAAGAGACCACTATCTGCACTGCAGTTGGAGAGGAGGGAACTGCTGTCTACATTTTCTAATTCAATAGCTGTAAATTTTTTAATGCCTATATTTAAAAAACACATAAAATATGTTGGAAAATTAGCACTATAAAGAGTCAGGATATCAAGAAATGAAACTAATTTAGCAAAAACAAGTTAAACTAGCAGATTCCAAATAAAACTCTTTTTAGTAGATAATTATGACATTATTTTTCATCACAGAAAAGCTGCAATGTAAGATATTAACTTTGACCAGAATTACAGTTGCCACAATGTGATGGGCTGAAATAATTTTTGATTTTCTTTCTTCTTTATAATAAATTGAATTGCATTATATCCATGTTCACTATAAGGAAACAATGTGTAGACAGTACAGTACAGTGTTAAGAGGAAGATGTTAATATGGAGCATAAATGCAATTAAAACATTTTCTCACATTTCCCCCCCCCCCATTTTAACTACGTTTTTCTCCCTCCACATATTTTGGAAGCAGAGAAAATGCATTTAATGTTTATTAATACTTCTCTGTAATTACAGATCTACATTCCACTAAAAGCTGAGACAAAAAGAAGCCATTATTGTGGAAAATCCACAAATTTATTGTAAAATTAAGTCTCTAATACATCTGCTTGCAAAGATTATCATATTTTGTTATGCATGGACAGTGTACTCAGTAGCGTACATGCACCATTAAAACAGCTTCTGCCTCACATTCTTCCAAAGTCTAAATCTGTAGATTTTGAGGACTTTGAGACTGAAACGGTTGAAGTCATCTGCATGGGCTCAGTTCAACTCTCATTGAAGTTAATGGAAATTTTTCCACTGACATCAATGGTGAGTTGCATCAGATCCTATGAGAGAAAGTTAATATTGTTCTTGGAAAGTTTAATCAACCCAAGAGCTTTATATTTAGGATAGTCAAGACTGAAACTTAATCTATATTATAAACAAGTGATTATAGTAGGTTTTTTCAGAATTGCACAGCACTACTTAGCACTAGCACAATTTTGTATGATAAACCTCATCCCATCAACAAATAAAAAGAAATGTTCAAGTCTTCTCAATTAATCTATTAAAAGAAAGGATACAATACCAGCACAGTTATAAAGCAACTACAAAGGATGCCGAATACAATCAAGGAATAGGTTAAAATGGGAAAAATTAACTGTAAAGATAACCTTGTTCTTCTGAATCTTGCACTTCAAGGATATCTGCAGATGGTTCTTTCACTGACAAGGATAACGCAACTTCTAAATCTCTCTGGTAAAGTTTGTCATCTAAGGCTATCCTGAAACAAGTAAAAAATGTTACAGGACATTTTTTTCCAGTAAATCTGGTGGATATTATTTTAGTGAACCGAAGCAATGCAAAGCTACTTCTGAGCAGCTACTCATTAATGTAATTATAAATCAGCACTTATGCAGGAAATAATAAAAAATGTTACAATACATAATCTGTAATTTACTGTATAACAAATGAGCAGTGGTTTGTGAAATTCAGATGATATAACAGAAGTTCTTTGCACTTACCAATATAGAATGCTTTATGTCTTCAAAGTGTTATACATACATTAATTAATTATCAGTAACAGACTGGAAAAATATATTTCATTTGTAGAAAATATCCTACTGGCATGGAATTCCACATAAAATATTTTAAACAACGTTTTGGTAGAAAATAAGTATAAATCAGTTTTATTTTACTTTTATTAAGATCTACTTCTGAATTTCTGTCAAATACGAGCTGAACTTTTGTTGAAGCCCAAAGTTTGTTTGTTTGAACCTTTCACTGCACCGCACCTTTAAGCGGGGGGAGGAGCTTGCCATGGAGAGGGAATAGCACTGGGGGGTGGAGTGGGGCGAGACTCAGAAGCTGCTGCAAAAGGGGGAGTGATCCAGCATAGCCATGCTGATTCATCCCCAGGGACCGGAAGGGCTGGGGAATTCAAAAGGGGCAAGCCCGGCGAAGAAAGCCCCTTTTCCCTGGACCAGGTGGAGCACCACCTGCCCTCCCCCTCCCTTGAGGTGGCAAAATACCAGGTTTGGTCAGAACCTGCTGTGGGCATCAGCTAGCCGCTCCTTTCTAGGATGGCTAGGAAGGAATTTTTCCCTCACCACCCAATTGTCTTATGTGGAGTGGGGATTTTGTTTTGCCTTCCCTTCACGACCAGATTGGCCTAGGTGGAGTGGGTTTTTTTTCCACCTTCCCCCATAGCAGGGTCAGGGAGGGTTTTGTTATGGTGAGTAGGGAAAGGTGTTAGACTATTATGTCGCAACTCATTATGTAAATGTAGGGCGGATGTCAAGTGCAGGTACTCCATAGGGAAGGGATACAGTGACAGACAAATGGCTTGGTAAAGGACTTAAAAAGGAGCTGTTGATTAAAGGAGCAGAATGGGTGATGAGGGGTGTTTGGGGCTCCTATGACTGGTATGGCAGGGAGCAAACCCCCTTTTCTTACAGCCCACCTTAACCCTCGTTCGGAGTGGGTGGGAAGGGAGGATGGTAAAGTCCCAACAATGAGTTGTCTAGGGGACCTGGATGGAAAAAGTCGGGGGCTGGCAGAAGCCCCCCCGGTAGATATTGAATGAACATGGAGCTACCTGCACTGTACACTTTTAGCTGCCAGGTAGGCCCAGGCATCTAATAATGAAGTTGTGGCCTGATTAAAACCATGTCAAGTGTCTCCTGTTCACTTTTGTATACTAAGCCTATGGACCATACAGTGTTTTCATGTACTATACTGATGGGTTCCCTAGAACTACCTAGATTAGATTAGCCACAAATTTACCTAATTTAGGCCACAAACCTGCATTGGATTTATGTGGGCAGATCTCTGCACCAGTGTAGTGCCCTGTTGAAATCCACAGTGCTTCATGTCGGCAAAAGGGTCCACCTAGTCAGATATGATTGAAGGACTGAGGTGCAGGCACTCTTGTCATTAGACATTATTAGATTATCCTTCACTCATTAGTGAGCAAAATAATTTGATAATAAATCTCAGACTAATACATTAGACCTTTATTTGTAGTTATTTAAACTATACTCTAGGAAAATGTAAAACATGAGGAAAATTAAGAAATTGAAGTGTTGTTGAGATGAAGCTTTTCTATTGCACACACAACTAATTACACTTCATTACCTCTCACCTTTTACTGGGTGTTTTCTTCGGCACTGTAGTCACCTCTTTGTGTGGCCTTTTCTGCTTCTCCTTTTTCTCTCTATTTGTCTCTGTAGGTACTACTCTAGATTTTTTGTTTAAAGGTGCAGGTACACGGGCAAAGTCTTCATCTGTTTATGAAAACATGTGCAAATTAGAAATAGTTTAGCCCATACAGTGCAAGTTTCTCCAACCACCACGAAAAAAAGTCTCTCGTCAGAAAACTTATTTAATCACAAATATAAAATATTCTAAAACATTTATATCCTTATGGCCCTCATCTGAAACTATTAAACCAATTTTCAGTCTCATAATCGGATGACAAAGAGATGTAGCTGTAATGAGCTCCGGGATACTCTTGAACAAAAGGTACTAGCTAAATGTAGATCATAGTGAGATCTGATCATACTATTTCTAACAATTTTCAAGATGTAAATATTCAAGTTAATTAATTATTATCAATATGGGGATAGAGTTTCAATCTCAAATGTGTTCTCAGAGTTCTCATTCACTTGAGATTCAAGTTCTTCTGGTAAGTGAATACCATTCAATATACATCATTCTTACAGTCCTTGGTCTTTTGGAACCTGTTCCTTTTAATGATTCCCATTCTTAAAAGAGATCTCCTCTCCCCTTTCATTACACTGCCTCTTTACAAAGTATACTTCTTTAGTCCTCCAAGGCCCAAACTGGGAACAAAGACTGAAAATCAGGGATATCAGACTAAAAGCAGTCCAAGAATTTTAAAATTCTGTCTTTAGCACAAATTTTTTTGAATAACTACGATGCAAAAAAATTGCAATAAAAATAAGTGATAATATCAAGTTTGAATGGGATGGAGGTGAGAGAGGCATGAGACCTCTGCACAGATGGTCCTAGATTCCTGCAGATCACTGTGATTTACAGAAAACTCTGTAGTCTGTTCCATGGAAGGACATGGAATAGGCCACCATCCCTCTGGAAAAATGTCAGAGAAATCTCTGCAAGAAGAACCTAGCAGAGCTCTCCTGCCCCAAGGCTCCTCCTATAACTTTTTTCACCTGTAGGAAGGGTTGAACTAACCCAATATTATGAACAAGACAGCAGTGTAAATATCACTTCTATTGTGTAATATCCTTATAACATGGATTGTACTCTAACAGGGCCTGAATTTGATTCCACTGAAGCCAATAAAAGTTTTTTCACTGAATTCAATAGAAGGATAGGGCCCATATTCTACCAACATTTTATATTAAGCTATTGCAGAACTTAACTCTTTTTGGTGTGGATAATAGTAGACCACTTACCATCATTTTCAAAATCCCCAAACTGTGAATAATCAACAATTTTCTTATTCCTGTGACAAAACACCACACATTATTAGTCATTCAACACAAGAATCATTGTTTGTTAACTTTAGTTTCTCAGCATTGCACTAATTCCCCTTTTCAAAGCAGTCAACACATACAGCAGATAGCAAAACAAGAGCATGGAGGGAAAACTCAGGCTGGACAGCCTGGAAAGGAGACAGGGGCAGGAGCAGATGATAGATGGACATGAGCAGATGATAAAGATACTGGAGAGTAAGAGAGAGATGCCCAAGTCCCTCATAGTGCTGCAGTCTGAGCACATCCATGTATGACTCCCCCTACAGCAAATACAGAATGCTGTTCCATGCCCTCCCCCAAACTCCCCCAACACATTCCTCAGATGTTCCCATTCCGTAGCAGTACCCCTTGCACTCAACCCCTAGAGACTAGTTTCATGATGAAAACTGGAGTTACACACAGCCCTGAGAGCCTTAATGGAGAGACTGTTCCTCATTGTCATGTCCCCTGTGTGCAAAAAAATGTTTTATCCTTTAATTAAAGCAGGGGTAGGCAACCTATGGCACGCGTGCCAAAGGCAGCATGCGAGCTGATTTTCAGTGGCACTCACACTGCCCGGGTCCTGGCCACCGGTCCGGGGGGCTCTGCATTTTAATTTAATTTTAAATTAAGCTTCTTAAACATTTTAAAAAGCTTATTTACTTTACATATAACAATAGTTTATTTATATATTATAGACTTATAGAAAGAGACCTTCTAAAAACATTAAAATGTATTACTGGCACGCAAAAATTAAATCAGAGTTAATAAATGAAGACTTGGCACACCACTTCTGAAAGGTTGCCGACCCCTGAATTAAAGTATAGTCTTTGAAACAAAATGAGTCTTTGTGTCATGCACACAGTTTCTGTGAAAATTCAAATACAGTGGCTATAAGCAGAGGAACATTTGCTCACTACAATTTAAAGCTCAGGAAGCAAGCATTACAGGAGTCATTCAAGGAAGCAAGTAAACACTGCCTGGCCGAATGCATCACATAAAGACACATTACTGGGGCTCATTGTCAAAATGCTCCTTCAAAGCCTCCCTGATTCGAATAGCCCCCTGCTGAGCCCCTCTAATTGACCTGGTATCTGGCTAATCAAAATCAGCTGATCTTAGCGCTCCATCCCTGGAGAAACATCTTCCCTTTGCTTTACAAATGTTATGCAGAACACAGCAGGCGACTATGACCATCGGAATATTGTCCTCATTGAGGTCTACCGTGCCAAAGGCATATTCAATGGTCATTCGGCCCCTGCTGAGCCTGTTATTGAAAAGTTCCTTGCTGCTGTCTAAGTTCACAGTGTAAGATTTAATGAGCCACGGGGGCAAGAGGTAGGTGGGGTCTCCCAGGATCACTATGGGCATTTGCACATCCTCCATTGGAATCTTCTGGTTGGGAAAGAAATTCCCAGCGTGCAGCTTTCTATACAGTCCAGTGATCCTAAAGATGTGTGCATCATGAACTTTCCCTGACCAACCCACATTAATGTCAGTGAAACGGCCCTGGTGTTCCACCAGTACCTACAAGACCATGAAGTAGTATGCAAGACCCTGGAGAAGTAGCCCTTTCAGTTGATATACTCTGTTGCAAGATGGTCTGGGGCCAAACTTGGGATATGCGTGCCATCTATCATCCCATTGCTGCAAAACCATCAAGTATTTCCTGCACATTACCCAGAGTCACAGTCCTTCATCGCATGAGGCGGTTGATGGCCCTGCACACTTACATCACCACAACCCTCAGGATGGACTTTGCAACTCTAAACTGATTCGCAACTGACTGGTAGCAGTCTGGAGTTGCCTGCTTCCACACAGCAATCTCCACTCACTTTTCCACTATGAATGCAGCTCTCATTCCGGTGTCCTTGCACTACAGGGCAGGGGCAAGCTCTGCACACAGTTCCAAGACGGTGGCTTTGCACATCCAAAAGTTCTGCAGCCACTGCTTGTCATCCCAGACATGCATCACGATGCAATCTCATGACTCAGTGCTTGTTACCCGAGGCCAGTACCAACAGTCAATAGTGTGCAGCTACTCCATAACTGCCAGCAACAATCTTGAATTGTTTCTTTCCACTGCACACAGCAGGGCAGGCAACACATCTTCTGTTTCCCAGCTCATTAAATACTGCAGGACCAGCTGCTTTGGGCTTATAATGCTCATCACCAGACTGATCAGCAGTTCAGAATGGTTTCAGGCAGAGATGGCAAGTGTAGTTTACAGGGGCTATTAAAAAATGATGTGAAATGAAGTTGGAAGCCCATAGAATGATTGGAAGGAAAGAACTACATCATGGGATGATGAGCACAACCCCATAATTAATGCTAAAATTTTGTCACAGATATTTTTGGTAAAAGTCAGGGATAGGTCACGGGCAATAAACAAAAATTCACAGAAGCCTGTGACCTGTCCCTGACTTTTACTAAAAATATCCCTGAACAAATGGGGAGGGAGAGGATGGTCCAACACCCACAGCTGCTGGGATCTGGGGTCCCCCCACCGCTGGGGGTGGCTGGGCAGCTGCAGGGGGTGTCTGTCCCCCGCCACCTAGGGCAGCTGGGAGCTTCGGGGGAGAGGGGTCAGGGACGGGGACTGACAGCTCCAGCTCCAGCCCCGCTGCCCTGGGGCTGAAGTGGAAAATGTCACGGAAGTCTCTGGAAGTTTCGGATTCCGTGACCTCTGTCACCTAATCATAACCTTGCCCATGATGCACTGTGATCCATTCCCAGACCTGCCAGGGGCAGAAAATGGCGAATTACACAGTGAGATAGCTACCAACAATGCAACACTCTCTGTCCATGCAAAAGATCCGACTGTGAACGTGCTCTGCCGACACAAAGAGCGTTGTACAGATGTGCACAACTGATGTAATTAAAGCGGCTTATGATCATCAACATAACTTAAGTCAACTTAACTCTGTAGTGTAAACATGGCCTTAGTAACACCATTTCCCGAAGTGGCGCAGTCGCAGTCGACGTAACGTCAGCGAAGACACTGCGGTGCTTATATCAACTGTTACTAGCTTTCAGGAGCCATCCCACAATGCCCCAGGCAGACAGTACAATCCACCCAATCGCTCCTGGTGAGGACCCGCACCACCTAGGCAATGTGCGCACACACACACAGACACACAAGTGATGTGATAACAGTGACAGGTGCTTGCTGACATCAGTGACATGGCGTCAGACTATCAACCCCCCCAGCGGTGCCAGTGGTGCCCCCTTGGCGCTGACAGTGACCACGCCGCCAAGAGAGGGGCAAGGGCTACGCTACAGAGGGGGGCCAGAGGACCGTTACCCCGTCCACGGCGCTGGATTGCCCCGGGAGACCGAGCCACCCGCTAACGGGGTGAGTGAGAATCAGACAGCGCATGTTGCGCCCTGGCTCGGACTGGCCTGACCGCAGCCCGCCGGCTCCGCACGGCCCGCCAGGCCGGGGCGCTGCAGGGGGCGGGGGCTTGTCACAAGCGCCCCCCCCCAGCAGCTGGAGGCCGCAGGGCTGCTCCCGCGCTGCCCCGCCCCCTCCCAGCCGTGTAACGGTCCGCGCCGGGACAGCGCCCTGGCCCGTGTGCGCTCGGAGGAAGGGGGGGGCACCCACCTCCTGACCGGCCTCTCCATCGCGGCGGGGCGGCGCTGGCTCCCCAGCCGCCGAGCGGGCTGCTCCTCTCCCCGCGCGCGCTCGCGTCGGCCCGACACATTCGTCACCGGCACAAAAAAGGAGGCGGGGCCCGAGCGGGGAGGAGAAGGCGAATCTGCGGCGCCGGATCCGAAGGAACCGCTGGGAGCAGCATCGCCGCCCCACTGGCCAATAGCCCGGACCAGCTGCTCCCCCCGCCCGCTGGGGCTCAGGTGAGGGCGGGGCTGCCCCGCCCGTGGGGAACAGTCCCCTCCTCCCGTCACTAGGGCCAGGGCAGGGAGCCCAGCCCAGGCCTGGCTCGCGGTGCGGGGCCAGGCTCGCGACCCCCGCGCTCAGACTCCCCCGCCCCCAGCTAGCGGTGACTGGCGGGACCGGCTTATGCCGCGGGCGGGGTAAGGAGGCGGGACCGTTGGGTGTTTCTGCGCCTGAGCGCGCGGCCAGGGCTGGGCGCTGCGGGCGGATGTTCTGTCCGGAGCCGGGGCTGCGTCATCCCCGAACGAACCCCGGTGCCTCGAGCCGCGCGAGCCGCTCCCGAGCGCGGGCAGCTCGGGGCTCTAACGCGTGTGTTGTGCTGGCCCGTGTGGACAGAAACCCTGGCTCTCATTCAAACTTCCTAGCGCTGCAGGTCGGGAAAGGATCATTTAGTCTGATCGCCAATTTAACCTAGGCCACAGGGGACAGTGTGTCAGAGGAGGGTAAAATCTCAGACATCATTAACTCCTTCCTTCATTTGTGCAGTGGTGCAATAGAGAGCTTTTCTCCACCCCTTCTTTCTCCCACCCTAAAAAATCCCAGGGTGCAGCTTCCCACTGATAGTAGGATGGTGTCCTGCAGGTGACAAACCTCTTTTAATGCAGCCAGAGAAGTTCTATCTGCATCAGGCCCCCTCTGCTCACATAAGCACAGGGGACATGGTCCCTCCTCCCCTCCATTCTTGTTTCATTAATATATGTGGTTATAAAAAGTGAAAGAATTATTGTTTACTTTTTGCACTTCACCAAGTTTGGATATGACAATAAACTAGCCAGTTTCACTTTCTGTTCTCTTGGACCAGTACAATGCTGTAAGGTTTGAGTTGCAAACCTTGCAAGGGACTGTTTAAATACAAACAAACTGTTCTAATTTGTCAAGTATCAGAGAGGTAGCCATGGTAGTCTGGATCTGTAAAAAGCGACAAAGAGTCCTGTGGCACCTTATAGACTAACAGATGTATTGGAGCATAAGCTTGCATGGGTGAATACCCACTTTGTATTCTAATTTGTGGTGTTTTTAAATTCATGAAAACATATTCATTTTAGGTTTTGTAACTTAGGTCTTGTTAAAATTGTTCTATTACGTTTGTATAAACTCCTCAAAACAATTTTTATTCTAAAATGTACACTTAACCCAAAATATTCCCTCCCTGTTTTAATATATCTGCATTAAGAGGAAGTGAAATCCTAATTAACATGTATGGTCTCTTTGGGTCTGAACATACAAAAATGCATACTATTGGACGCAGTGTTTGACTTCAGCAAGGCTACTTATGGTAATTTGCACTACCCCAATAGCATGTTTGAGTTTGGGGGCCTAAGCCACGTTTTTCAGAAATGGGTGCTAAATCCATATTTAGTCACTAAAATCAGTGGAAGCTTCCAGGTGCTCAGCACTTTTGAAAATCAAGCAACTTATTTAAGTACCTAAATGTGATTTTTAGCAGTCTTAGGGCAAGTCTACACTATGGTACTACATCGGCTGTAGAGCATCTGGTGAAGATACACTATACAGATGGGCGAGCACTCTCCAGTTGGCATAATTACTCCACCTTGGCGAGAAGCAGAAGCTGCGTTGCTCACCGGGAGACTTTTTCACACTCCTGAGCAATGTAAGTTATATCAGCTTAAGCTATAGTGTAGACCTGCCCTAAATATAGGCACCCATTTTTTGTAAAATGTTGGCTATTATGTCCCCTTCCCTGAATATTTTAATTATTGCCAAATCATGTTTTGTGTTTCTCTTTGTTAACAGTTGAAATATGTAAATATATAAAAGATACAACATGCTGTTTTGCTTATTATGCAGAAAATCAACCAGAGAAGATGAAGGCCAATAAAGGAAAAACCTGCACTAGAGAGAGAGAGTTTTTATATAAATTCAATGCTGGAAATCAGCGCTTAGTGCTTACAGTGCCTCTCAAATTTCCTGTGCAAGAGAATGCCAGTCACTTGCATGGACGTCTAATGCTCCTGCACAATTTACCGTGCTTCATAGAAAATGGTGAGAATTGGGTTTGTAAATGATCAGTATTATATGTATTAATGTCCTGTGACAGACTAAGCAAAATGATACTATTTCTAAAATGTTTTTAAAGGAATTTTTAATAATATTTAGCTGTTTTTATGGTTTGACTGCATATTAATATATGAGGAGGGAGTGTGGTCAAGTAAACTTAGCAGTTTTAAGTACGTGTTCATGCAGTTGTTAGAAATTTCCTTTTATTTTAACTATTCAAAGTAAACTCTGGTTGATGACACATTCTTTTCTTATTACAATAGACTTAAAGCAATCTCTTAGTCAATTCATAGAAGGAGAATCCATAAAAGATTATGATAAAGAAGCAGAGGCGGCCCTGGAAGCTGTGAAATCAGGAGAAGTGGACATGCACCAGCTGGCAAATGCTTGGGCTAAAGCTTATACAGAGGTGAGACAAAGTCTGAAATATGAATTTCCAGAGGTTTGCTACATGTGTAGTCTTTCGAAATGTATGTAGGCAGCATTAGAAATTACACTGAAATTCAGTTTTACTGATCACCCCACGTGGTGATAATTTGGCTATTCAGATAAAATCTGAGGGCTCATTCTGCAAGTTCTTAATCATGTCTGTGGAACTATCCATGAAAGGACTACTTCAGTAAGAGTTTGCAGAAATGAGCCCTCAGGGTTCAACTCCCATTGAAGTCTATGGGGTTGAACAAATGTAAATGGGGGCAGAGTTTATCCTTATACTTTGCCTAAGACTTTTCCTATTGATACTGATGTGTTGGCCCCTTTTTTACACAGATCAATAGGAATTTTTGTTGGAGAGATCCAATTGGAAATGATTTAACTGATTTTTTTTAAAAAAAGTATTCTCACAGGTAGATGATAAATCATTTTTATTCAAACTCAGTTTCAGGTAGAGAATCTTGTGTAGGGTTATCAGCTCATCCACATTTGGCGGTTGAGCAGCCCCTGTTCTATTATTTCCACCCTAATGTGCTGGGGGAGAGAATGGTTGTGATAGAAATTAAGGGAAAACAGAAGATGGAATAGGGAAATGGAGGAGAGAGAGAATTTCAAAGATAAAAGTAGATGGGGGAGAGAAGCCAAACTAGAAAAGGAAAATTTTAAATTTTGAACAGTGTACATTGGCACAAAAATTAACTCTGTCATTTTAAGTGACTTTGGTTCTGTGTGCTTGTTTAAAAATGTCCATAGCATTCTTTAAAATATTTGACTTTATTACTTTCTAGACAACATTAGAACATGCAAGACCTGAAGAACCCAGCTGGGATGAAGATTTTGCAGATGTGTACCATGATCTGATACACTCTCCAGCTTCTGAAACTCTGTTAAACCTGGAACACAATTATTTTGTTAGTATCTCAGAATTAATAAGTGAAAGAGACGTGGAACTGAAAAAATTACGAGAAAGGTATTTTTAAAATGTCTCATTAAACCTGATGTTTTCTATATGACTCTGTTACAAGCTCTGTAAATGAACAGTATAAGGCTTATTTTAGCTTTTTCCTTCTTTAAAAAGAGTACAGGTCAGTTAAAATACAAAAATGTAACTCCATGTAATAATTGTTTCAAATTTGAGTCTAATCAAAAGCTAGAAAATGTAAAAGCTGAGATAATCTGAATCACATTAATATGTTCAAGTTCCACATACATTGTGGAATATATATATATATATTTTTAAGTACATCAGAATTAGGAAGCCTGCCAAACAATCAGTGGGGCCACCGGATGCTAAAGGATCACTCAAGGAAGACAAGGCTATTGCAGAAAAGCTAAATGAATTCTTTGCATTGGTCTTCACTGCAGAGGATGTGAGGGAGATTCCCACACCTGAGCCATTCTTTTTAGGTGACAAATCTGAGGAACTGTCCAAGATTGAGGTGTCACTAGCAGAGGTTTTGGAACAAATTGATAAATTAAACAGTAGTCAGTCACCGGGACCAGATGGTATTCATCCAAGTGATCTGAAGGAACTCAAATATGAAATTGCAGAACTACTAACTGGTATGTAACCTATTGTCAAATCAGCTTCTATACCAAATGACTGGAGGATAGCTGATGTGACACCAATTTTTTAAAAAGTCTACAGTACCAGGGAAATTAGTTGAAAGTAAAATATAGTAAAGAACAGAATTATCAGACACAGAGATGAACGTGATATGTTGGGGAAGAGTCAGCATGGCTTTTGTAAAGGGTAATCTTGCCTCACCAATGTATTGGAATTCTTTGAGGGTCTCAGCAAAAGGTGGGCAAGGGTGATCCAGTGGATATAGTATATTTGGACTTTCAGAAAGCCTTTGACAAGGTCCCTCACCCTCTTAAGCAAAGTAAGCAGTCATGGGATAAGAGGGAAGGTCCTCTCATGGATCAGTAACTGGTTAAAAGACGGGAAAGAAAGGGTAGGAACAAATGGTCAGTTTTCACAGTGGAGACAGGTAAATAGTAGTGGTGTCCCCCAGGGATCTGTATTGAGACCAGTGCTGTTCAACATATTTATAAATGAACTGGAAAAAGGGATAAACAGGGAGGTGGCAAAGTTTGCAGACAATACAAAATTACTCAGGATAGTTAAGTCCAAAGCAGACTGAGAAGAGTTCTCTGTTCTGTTCATTCCCTCTGAAGTATCTGGCACTGAGTACTGTCAGAAGATGGGATACTGGGCTAGGTGAACCGTTGGTCTGATCCAATATGGCCATCATTATGTTCTTGTTGTATTTTTAAAAGGAATGTAGTATATAGACAATGCAACATTTATTTATTTAGAGTCTAGAAAACACAAAAAGGCCCCTATACAAAAGGTCCAGTACCTTTTAACA